TGATGTTCGGATTCACGTCCATGCATCTTTTAATTAACAATGCCGTATAAAACGTCGCAACAGTAATGGCTTAAAGAAATGTCAAACTCCCCCAACCTCCAGATTACAGTGCATATGGGATAGACGGAAACAAAAGAAAACAAATGCGGAAGCGAAAAGGTGAAAATAGACCAAGTATGTCCCCAAGGGCAAAATGGTCATTTTCAAAAAGTTATGGGTGCTACCGAACACACCATTGAATAGATAACGAAAAATTAACGAAGATAGACTCAAGAATCACTTAATTCGGAGTCCGATCGAGAGAGAAAAGTCAAAACAAAAAATGGGTGTCGTCGCGGCCGAGAATGGCACCTTGACAACCCCATGCGCGCGCGCGCCCCCTGCACACAATCATGAAAGAAAAGAGGATAAGAACCTGGTGAATATCTAGTAATAACATCTTCGATTTCTACACTGTAAATTGCTTTCTTTCTCTCGCTTGGTAAAACCCTTACCATGTAAGCAGGGATGGCCAATACAAAGAATTGCATGCATAATAAGGAATGTGAATTACAGGAGCCCAACTCCTGAGAAACAAACAAAAATAGAATAAAAAAAAAAAAAATTAGTTTCCATCTAGCCTACATTTCAAAATATAGTTGTGTGGACACACTGGGTGGAATCTTTAGATTTAATTAAGCTAGAAATTCAAATTCATATATAATATCGAATTACATCACAAATATCAACAGTAAAAAAGAGATCTTAGTTTCCTTAATCTAAATTTAAGTTTAAGGAACATAGTTTCAGGGAATAGTACATGTTGGCATTAGATGGTATATATATGATTCAAAGTCAAGAGCAAGATGAAAAATAATACTAGTTGTTTGGTAAAAGCAAGTAAAAAAAAAATTACATATAAATCTAGCTAACACTACCCTTTGATACCACAGGATAAGTAGGAAAAAGAGAGTGGCATACCATACTAAATTTTCAACAGCCGGGAAAAATAAATAAATGGGAAACTGCAAACCTTTTCAAGCAAATACCAATATGTTATATGCAACTTCTAAAGCATGTCACTTGAATATGCAGTCATAGCTAGAACTTTAAACTTGAAAAACGTATTGTATAATAAAATTCTATAGGGAAGCTAAGAAAAAAAACTATAAATCAACAAGTATGTTTTTTTTTTTTTCCCTAAATAAAGGAGTTTTTATAAATATGAACAATATAGTACAAAGACAAATAAGGGAATGCCCTTACCAAAACAAAACAAAACCCTTAAAAAGGGAATACAAAATGCTCAAAACAAGCCAATAAAAATAAGAGAGCTACATGATGTCCTGAAGGCATACCCCCATGACATCAAGTACCTCCCAAAGAATACACTTTACTAAATCCTTAGACTCTCGCATTGTATCATTATGCATTCTGTTATTCCTTTCACCCCATAAAAAAATATAAGGAAGCTGTAAACAAGATCCTTGCCATCTTCATCTTCCTCCCCTTCCCTTGATATTGTTAAGTAAAGAACTTTGCCAACTCATATATCCCATTACAAACTTGAGCATTCGAAATACAAATTCCTTCAAAATTGTGCCATACTTTTCTTGTATACTCACAGCAACAAAATAAATGATCAATACTCTCCACTTGTAGCAAAGAAAGCATCTAGAAACCAAAGCAAAACCTTTTCTCTGTAAATAAGAGTGAGTGAGAATGGCATTTTGCATCACCAAAACCGCATGAACTAACCACCTTGGTCTCCCCACACTCCAGCACAAACCAGCCCAATTCACTTCATACAACCTGAAACGAGTAGCTTCCCAAGCAGCTTTGAAACTAAATGTGGTCACCCACTGAATTTCATCCACTCCGCCATGAATTTTCTGATTTTGGAACATCTGAATTAGCTCATGAGAAGTATTATTCAATTGAGATACATCCCATTCTCCCTCTATAATAAGCTCATGTATACTGATATTATTGGAACAACAATTGTTGCCATCTAACTAATTTGCCATGATTAGTGAGAAATGCTTCTCTATTTAAAATGCTTGTATTTGTTGAGTAGTGCTATTCCACCAGACTAGAAAAAAACGGACTTAATACCAACTCCTCTACGTGATTGTCCAAGTGTCATTGAATACATCTGGAGGAAACGCCGACTTGGGCAGTTGCAACAGTTTGTTTCGTGCTGGTTGCAATTTCAATTGTAATTGAATACATCTTTCACTTAATTGGAAAGGTAGGCTAGCTAGCTGTTCCAATATATATATACAAACAGGGAAAATCTTTTTGAAATTAAATTCAAATAGTAAAAAAGGAGGGGAAAAAAATTTAAACCTATTGTTTTGGGGAAAAAAAAAAAAAAAAAATGGGTTGACCCGGATAACCCATTCAACCTGTGAATATTCGGGTTGAAGCCCAGATTTGTGTTATCTCGGGCCGGCCCAACCCAACCCGAAATCGGATTGAGGTCGGGTTCGGTCTAGGCTAGGCAGGCCCAAGTTGCACCCGTATAAGAATATCACATATCACCTCAACTAATTTTAGAGGGACCCAGACTTGTCCTAACCTAATTTTTTTTTTTTTTTTTACCATATTTGAGGACCCTTAAAATTTGAGGCCGGCCCTGTGAAGAACCATGGCTTCAACAAAACAAATATGTAAGAATTCTTAGACTTAGAGAGCCGATTTGAGGTCATTGGAGTTGTGAGATTCCAAGAACAAGCTAATGGCAATGGAGTTTGTAAAGAGAGTCACTAACATATAACAACCACCACAAAACCAACAAAAACAAGAAAGGAAAAAAAAAAAAATGAAAAACAGAAATGGTCTTCACAGTTCATCAAGAATTAATCTCCACAAGATGCAAGATGCAAAACCTTAACAGTGATATACTAGTATAATATATTACGTACCTAATAAAACATTGATTCCGTTGAAGACAATAGAGGCAGTTCCAACAGATCATTGTGCAGCTTGGGCTTCATTAATTGCCTCTATGAAAAGATTAGTGTGAATGAGAAGGGGTGGAGAATGATACTTCTGCAATCTATCTGGCTGCTGATACAAGAAGGCCACGTGAAAGATTATACTAAAAAGAGTAGGAACCCCTACATGATTTAAAAGAACCAATACAAATAAAGAATGAAGCAGGCTGCTTCTTTCTTCTTAAGTAGGCTATATTTGGGCTCATTTCTTTATTATGTACTGGGCTCAATAATTAAAATAAGCCAAAATACAGCCTACTTAAGAAGAAAGAAACAGCCTGCTTCATTCTTTTAAATCATGTAGCGGTTCCTGTTTTTAGTATAATCTTTCACGTGGCCTTCTTTGTTGTATCAGCAGCCAGACAGATTTGCAGAAGTATCATCCTCCACCCCTTCTCATTCACACTAATCTTTTCATGGAGGCAATTAATGAAAGCCCAAGTTGCACAATGATCTATTCGAACTGCCTCTACTGTCTTCAACGGAATCAATGTTTTATTAGGTATGTAATATATTATACTAGTATATTACCGTTAATGTTTTGCATCTTGTGGAGCTCAATTCTTGATGAATTGTGAAGACCATTTCTGTTTTTCAATTTTTTTTGCCTTCTTGTTTTTGTTTTCGTTGGTTTTAGGGTGGTGGTTATATGTTAGTGGCTCTCTTTACAAACTCCATTGCCACTAGCTTGCTCTTGGAACCTCACAACTCCAATGACCTCAAATCGGCTCTCTATGTCCGAGAATTCTTACATTTGTTTTGTTGAAGCCATGGTTCTTCACAGGGCTGGCCTCAAATTTTAGAGGGCCTCAAATATGGGAAAAAAAAAAAATTAGGTTAGGACAAGTCTGGGTCGCCTTAGGCCTCAAATTTTTGAGGCCCTCTAAAATTAATTGAGGTGTTATGTGATATTCTTATACGGGTGCAACTTGGGCCTGCCCAGCCCGAACCCAACCTCAATCCGATTTTGGGTTGGGTTGGGCCGGCCCTAGATAACACAAATCTAGGCTTCAACCCGAATATTCACGGGTCGAACAAGTTATCCGGGTCAACCCGTTTTTTTTTTTTTTTTTTTTACCCAAAACAATAGGTCTAATTTTTTTTTTTCCCCTTTTTTTCTATTTGAATTTAATTTCAAAAAGATTTTCCCTGTATGTATACGTATATATATATATATTGGAACATCTAGCTAGCCTACCTTTCCAATTAAGTGAAAGATGTCTTCAATTACAATTGAAATTGCAACCAGCACGAAACAAACAGTTGCAACTGCCCAAGTCGGTGTTTCCTACAGATGTATTCAATTACACTTGGACAATCACGAGGAGTTGGTATTAAGTCGGTTTTTTTCTAGTCCGGTGGAATAGCACTACTCAACAAATACAAGCATTTTAAATTTCTCACTAATCACTGCAAATTAGTTAGATGGCAACAATTGCTGTGAATAACATACTTGTTGATTTATAGTTTTTTTCTTAGCTTCCCTAGAGAATTTTATTATACAATACGCTTTTCAAGTTTAAAGTTCTACCTATGAATGCATATTCAAATGATATGCTTTAGAAGTTACATATAACATATTGGTATTTGCTTAAAAAGGTTTGCAGTTTCCCATTTATTTATTTTTCCCGGCTGTTGAAAATTTAGTATGGCATGCCACTCTCTTTTTCCTACTTATCCGGTGGTATCAATGGGTAGTGTTAGCTAGATTTATATGTAATTTTTTTACTTACTTTTACCAAACAGCTAGTATTATTTTTCATCTTGCTCTTGACTTTGAATCATATATATACCATCTAATGCCAACATGTACTGTTCCCTAAAACTATGTTCATTAAACTTAAATTTAGAATCTTTTTTACTATTGATATTTTTGTGATGTAATTCGATATTATATATGAATTAGAATTTCCAGCTTAATTAAATCTAAGATTCCAGCCAGTGTGTTCACACAACTATATTTTGAAATGTAGGCTAGATGGAAACTAATTTTTTTTCCTTCTATTTTTGTTTGTTTCTCAGGATTTGGGTAATTATCTATCCCATATGCACTGTCATCTAGAGGTTGGGGAAGTTTGACATTTCTTTTAGCCATTGCCGTTGCGACGGCATTGTTAATTAAAAGATGCATGGACGTGGATCTGAACATCAAAACCTATCTTGACATAGGTGAACGTGCATTTGGAATAAGATGTCGATGGCTCATATTATTTTTGATGAACATAGAGCTATTTTTGGTTGCAACCGGGCTCTTGATCATTGAAGGGGATAATTTGCACAAATTATTCCCCAAGTGGCAATTAAGATTGGACAACTACACATGGGAGAAAGACAAAGTTTTGAACTGATAGTTGGCCTCTTGGTAATGCTTACTGTCTGGTTCAACAACCTCAGTGTTCTATCTTATATCTTTGCCATCGGTGTGCTGACGTCTACTGTAATCCTTAGCTCAACTTTGTGGACTGGTGCATTTGCTGGGATTGGGTTTAATGAGATGGGGACGACTCTACATTTGAAGGGAATCCCTATCGCTACCAGCTTATTTGCTTTCTGCTACAGCACACATCCTGTTTTCCCAACCCTGTACACTTCTATGGCAAACAAGCTTCAATTTACAAAGGTATGTACCAATGTCATCGAATTAATTAAGGTTCTTTTTCACAAGTGACTAGCGGTCAAATGTTATGCTTTCTCTTTGAAGGTTATGATGCTTTGTTTTCTCTTCTATACCTTGGCGAATGTGTCCATGGCAGTCTCAAGGCATCTAATGGTTGGCTCCAGGTATCTAATGTGTGGCTCAAAGGTGGAGTCACAGGTAAGCAGACACGAACCTGTAGCCCCACTGAATTTTTTTTGTTTAGCATTATGCATCTATTGATTCTTTATTTTTGAATTATATACCTATAGAATTTCACTTTTGCCCCCGCTGAAATTTAGTGCCCCTACCCTCACATAATTTTCTAGGTGCCTCCCTGCAGATAAGCTTAAGTCTTCCTACTAAAAGATTAGTTCAAAAGTGATCATCTACACTACCTTGATCAATCCAGTCTCAAAATATTCATTGATGGTTATACCGATAGTGCACTTGATTGAAGGTCTATTTCACCATTCTAACAATAGGAACTTAGCCTATTGTTCAAGACTAGCTTGGTGATCAGCACAATTGTTGTAGCTGTGACTGTTTCCCTTTTTGGATCTCTCATGTCACTTGTTGGAGTTTTTCTAGGTTTCACAACATCTATGTTACTGTCTTGCATTTGCTACCTGAAGATCAAAGGCATTTATAAGAGGGTTGGATTGGAATTGGTGGTTATAGGTGCCATCATCTTAATGGGTATATTCACGGCAATTGTTGGTACTTGGACATGGAAATAATAGGATACTTCAGACTTGTCAAGGTCAGATTTCTCAGTGGAATTGAGAATTATAGTTATTGAAGGTTTATTTCTCTCAGGCTACGTTTGGTGTGCAAGAATGGAATGGAATACAGCTCGAAATGGAATGAGAATATTATTCCATTGTTTGGTGTGACACGGTGAATCGTTATGGAATGAAATGATTATTACCACTCTATTGTTTGGTTGACCATCATTATATCTAGAATTGAATGATTTTTCTCAAAAATACCCTTTGCATTGGATTGCATTACTTTTTAATAAAATCAATTCTAACGATAAATTATGGAATGTTATAAGATGCTCAATACTGCCATTGAAAAAAATAAAGAAAAACCTTAAAATAAAATAAAATATCATTTTTGACTCTTGATGATTGTTAATTTTTATTTTATATTATCATTGTTTCATATATATAAATGTTCGAAGAGAAAGAGATGGAGAAATCACACAAACGTTTCAACACAAAGATACGACAAAAAAAAAAAAAGAAAAAAGAAAAAAGAAAAAGAAAAAAGTGGTATACTTAGAAAATAAAGAGATTAATACCTGCAATTTGGTTGAAGATGCTGTAACTTTTTGTCAATGACAGCCCTGGGTATATTCAAAAGAGAGGGAAGGTGAAAAACCTTTACCACGTCTAATAAAGAAGTTGAAAAATGGAATATGATGAAGGACTTATTGGGAATATTACAAAAAAATTTAGTCTCACTATGGAATGGAATGGTCATTCCATAGGTTTAGTAATATAACGAATTTTTATTCCCTAGAATGGATTTTCATTCCAATGGAATGGTCATTCCATTTCATTCCTGCACATCAAACAAATGAATGGTTAGAATGGGCATTCCATTCCATTCCAATCCTCCACACCAAACGTAGCATTAGTACCTAAGCGGAGAATTTATAGGTACTGCTATCTTTTGATTTGGATTTTAGTACCAAGTGCAATGATATATGTTTATGTTAGTTTTATTGTTCATGTCTAAGAAGCACGGAAACGGATACGGGATACGGATACGACATGACACGGACACGGCGAATAGTATATATATATATATATATATATATATATATATATATATATCACTGATATGTTATATATATATATATCAGCATCTTTAGGACACGGACACGGCGAATTGTGGCACCTTTAGGTTAGTATATATATATATCAGCATCTTTAGGGAGTACAAAACAAAAAATAGAACATATCAGCATTAAAAATTTTAAAAATAAAAATAAAAAAATTTAACATATCAGCATTAAAAATTTTAAAAAAATAAAAAAAATAAAAATCCAGAAAAGTATGTCCGAGCCGTGTCTGAGCCGTATCCGAGCTGTCCGAGTCGTGTCCGAAAATTAAAAAAAATAAAAAAATTCCAGACACGTTTTTTGGCGTGTCCGACACGTGTCGGGGCGTGTCCGACGCGTGTCCGTGTCCGACATGTGTCGGACACGGATTTTTCGCCCATTTTGGAGTGTCCGTGCTTCCTAGGTTCATGCTCTGTGTATATTGAACTCATGTTTTTATGTTTTCATCTAAATGCCAGTAGACTCTGTTATGTGTTTGTGTAGTGTTACTTTTGAAAATTGAAGTGTCTTTTATCAATTGGAACTGCATTAGAAAAAATTATTTTTGCTGGAAATGAGGTCCAGCTATAATGTTTTGAAGGAAGGTGTCGTAAATGGTTTGTATCTAATTGGAAAATGGGGTTTTACTATGTAGAATATTAGGAAAATGTGATATACCCTCCTTCGTTTTCATTACACAACCGGTCCCAAGTCTAGATAAAGGAGGAGGGTTGTGTTATGCAGCTTGACAACAATTCAAGTAAAACTTTGTCATGAGTTACGAACAAAGTTCTTATGTGCTATCCTTTAAAAAATGAGAACAGAGTTGTGTTAGACATTTTTTTAACCAATATGAACATGAATCCCATGACTAGTGGGGAAAAAGGCTTTGTTGTTGTTGATGTTGATTTCCTTAGTTGTAGGCTCAGCCAAATCTGATGGTTAGGATTCGATAGAGCTGAGAAGGAAAAAGGTTCTAATATTCCAATTTTGCTATCCAAACTCAATTTGTTTAATTGAGTTTAAAGTTGGTGATTGGATGATGATGCAAGCAAACTTATAGGTTTTTATTTTTATTTTTTGTAGCACCTTCACTTCTGATCAAACCATTTGCATTGGACATTTGCTCAGCCCGTCTAAAATGATGCAAAGGGTTTTGCTTGTGAACTTGTCATCTTTAGAGTAGCCAGCAACAGGGTAACATTCTCAATGTATTTTTCAAGCGAGTGGCTATTTGTTTCCGCTTGGTGGGTTGGGCTCTCTGACTGTTTTTTTTTTTTTACTTCGAGCTTGGGCTTGCTCCAAAATATTTCTCCTTTGCGATTGTTTGGGCTTGCCCCTTCGCTCTAAGGCCTACTAGTAGTGTACATAATTTATTTTATATTCAGTATTGCTTAAACTTTTGGAATATATATATACACACACGCGCGCGTCTATCCAGTGAATGGGATCCAATGTTGATCTCATCACTTCATACGAGGAAAAAAAGCACCTGAATGTCAGAATTCAGATGACCATTTTGGTAGCTGAAGCTCTAGCAATCACTGTTGAGGGGTTTTGTAAGTGAGAATTGAATCTGACAGAGACATGGTGAAAGCTCTAGCAGAGTAGTTGATGTCCAAGGACTGAATTGGTATTTCTCCTACCATTAGGTTTAAATATTTTGAATCAGTTAAATGTGTCTTATAACTTTTGTAAGAGAAAATTCTACATTTAAAGAATTCTAGATCATAATCTTAGAAAATACTTTTACATTTTTCTTCTTCTCAAGAACAATAATTCAAGGAGGAGGGTTCGAGATGTTTCTAAACCTTTGTCACTTACCGAAAAAACTGCGCTAATTCTCCATGCAGAGTGTCCAAGTCAAGTCAGGGTATGTTTTAGTTTTGACTCCACCACCAAACAACTTTGATATTTCTTTGCAGAAAATCTATGACAAAATGTAAAAAAAAAAGAAAAAAAAAAAGAAAAAAAGAGAAAAGGAATATGTACTTTCAATAGTCGCATTTGGTAGCATCGAAACGATGGTATGAATTTGAAATTGGACGACATAAAGGTATAAATTTTTTCACTTTGCAGGGCGATTAAACGTAGCATCAAGTGTTTCTTGTTAAAAAATTTTCTCTAGTTCTAGGATTTTGACTAGAAGAAATACCATAATTCTTTTGAGGTATGCCATTAAGAGTTAATACTTTTCCATTTTTTAAAGTCGAAGGTCGAGGAAAGTGGATGGGTGAGCTTCCTTTCCGGAAAGAAAAAAAAAAAAAAATAATAATAATAATTTAACCCAAAAAAAAAAAAAATGTATAGTTGGGTGAGTTTCAAGTAGAAGTTGATAAAGTGAAGCACTTACAAGTTACAAATGACTTTTCTTGCACTGTATAGCACGTTAATTGAGAATTGGAATCGACCAAGCAATTATTTTCCCATGCCCCAGTGATACAAAAATTTCACCAAACCAATGCCAATTGCTTGCCATGCCCTTCATCATCCATGGTCCAACAAACTAACAAGCTTATAAAATATTATTTCATTATTATCCTTCAAATGCTCATTTTCCTTTCAAAGCTGCTACCTGTGGCTAATAATTTTGGTGAAATTTTAACCTAACTTTATTTCAATCTTTCGTAAAGAATCGGCAAAATGCGCATTATATTCACAAATAATTTGGAAGTCTTTTTTTCTGAATATGAAAGTGAACTTGGTTTGCTTGTTTCTGTTTTTTATGAACATTTTTTTTGAAAATTGAAAATAAAAAAATTGAAGATAGATTCTAGGAATTGTATTATGAAAACTAAAGTAAAAAATTGCATGTTTTTGGAGAATCATCTTTTATAGTTTTTGAAAATAATTTTTTATTTTTTATTTTAAATTTTTAAAATTTATTTTTTAAATGACGAAACAAACAAGCTCTTAATTTTCACAATATCACATAATTTTGAAACTTGAAATGAAAGTGTCGAACACAATCTCATGGTTGAGCAAAGACTGGCTACAGAAAAATAAAAATAAAAAACTTGAGCACCCAAATCAATAACCATCCACATCCATATATTAAACTCTATGCTGGGTTTAGTATTTGCAAGAATAATTTATTGTTCATAGAAAGCAGAAAATGGTTTGAAATTTCTTTCAATAATTGTTTTTTTTTTTGAAATCAAAATTTCAGAATTTTGCTATATACAAAATGTGCAAATACTTAATATATATTTTTAACTACAAATCTAGCTAACATTGATTACGGTGTTAGCTAGATTTATAGGTATTTTTCTTGTTTTTTATTTATATTTTTATTTTTTCACTTGATTTTATCCATGCAGACTACAGTAATAATTATTTATCCTCTTGCTCTTGACTTTGACAATCATATAGATACCATCCGAATACCAACATGTACTTTTCCTTAAAAGTATGTTCATTAATCCGGAATTTAGATTAAGAATGGGTTTTAAGATCTCTTTTAATTCGATATTATATATGAGTTAGATGCATTTCCGGCTGAATTACATCTAAGATTTTCGGGCTTGGAGCAAGAATTTTTTTTTTGTTCCTTCAAATTAGAGAGAGAAAAAAAAAATTTTGTTTTCAGTAAATATTACCAAAGTTTTGATTCTTTTTGTTTTAAGAAATATGAAATAAATACACATGTTGAAATAAACAATATTTATTCCTTTTAATTGAAAAAATAACATGTTTTTCCAACCACTTATGGGGTTTGTTTGGAATTATATAAAGTTTGTCCAATTCTTATTAAAAAAAATGGTTAATTGCATTTTTCTTGCGAATATTTAGTTCAAAAATTTTCAATTTTTGTTTGTTCCTTGAAAATGTATGGTACATGGAAATTAAAGTTTTCTTCTTCTTTTCTATTTGTTACCAGGAGTTGGAATATTGTCAATCCCATATGCACTATAATCCGGAGGTTGGGTGAGCTTGGCATTCTTTTTGTCATTGCCATTGCAACCTTTTTATACGGGCTTGTTAATTAAAAGATGTATGGATGTGGAACCTAACCCTAAAACATATCCAGACATTGGCGAGCGTACATTTGGAAAGAAATGTAGATGGCTGATATTATTTCTGATGAACATAGAGCTCTACTTAATTAGTTGCAATGGGATTCCTGATTCTTGAAGGTGATAATTTACACAAATTATTTCCGAATGTGGAATTAGGGATTAGACAACTACACATCGGAGGAACACCAACATTTGTAATGATAGTTGGTCTCATTGTAATGCCTACTGTTAGGTTCAATAACCTGAGCTTTCTTTCTTATATCTCTGCCATTGGAGCTCTCACATCTTGTTATAATAATTGGCTCGACTTTGTGGACTGGTGCGTTTAGTGGGCATTGGGTTTAATGAGAAGGGAACAACCCTACATTGGAAGGGGATTCTTACTGCTCTCAGCTTTTATGCTTTCTGTTACTCCGCATATCTTGTTTTTCCAACCCTTTACGTTTCTATGAAAAACAAGCGTTTGTTTTCGAAAGCATGAAAAAACGGTTTTTTGAACTAACTATAACCAAGGTTCTGGTTTTTTATTTTTTTATTTTTTCATATTCTCACTTTATGCCTTGTCTTTGTAGGTTTTGTATTGTGCTTTATTTTATGTACCACGGCGAATGTGTTCCTGGCAGTTATCGGTTATCTAATGTTTGGTTCAAAGGTGGAGTCGCAGATAACCTAACTCTTCCTACCGAAAAACTTAGCTCAAAAGTGACCATATACATTACATTGCTCAATCCGGTTTCAAAGTATGCATTGATGGTAACACCAATTGTGCACACTATTGAAAGCTAATTCTACCATTCTTCCAATCAGAGACTCTTTAGCCTATTGTTCAAGACCTACTTGGTGATGAGCACCATTGTTGTAGTGGTGACTCTTCTCCTTTTTGAATATCTCATGTCACTTGTGGGAGCTTTTCTAAGTTTTATACCATCTATTTTATTGCCAAGCTTGTGCTACTTGAAGATTACAGGCAATTATAGGAGGGTAGGATTAATTGAATTGGGGATTATTGGTGCCATTATATTAATGGGCATCTTCACAGCAATTGTTGGTACTTATAAAGCTTTGAAAGAAATAATGAAGCACTTTGTGACTACTTGTGAGAGGAGGGTCAGATTTCTCTTAGCGGAATTAATTGGTTTTAGTTATTTAAGATTACTGTCTCTACTAAACTGAGTAGAAAAGTATGTTGCATCATTTTTCATGGTTGGTGTTCACAGAGAAGGGAGCGTTTATTGAAAGTTTGTTATTGTTATTGCGTCCAACAAATAAATATATCAATGTGGTAAATTGTACATTGTGACAGTAACCAATAAAGTAAAGGAAACAAGCAAGCCCAAGAGAAAGACCAAACGAGGCCCACTAGAAAACCAGTCATAGAAAACCCAAAGCTAAAACTAATAAATGACCAAGAAAATAAAAGTTTTTCCTCCTCTGCAATCCACTGTGAAACTAATAGTATATCAATATGTTTTCGTGTTGAAGTTGCATAAACTTTTGTATTTAACTAGCATAAACTTTTGAAGTGAGACAAATATTTAGGAATATTTAAGAGGAAAAAAATGGCAATTAATATGAAACAGATGATTCGGTTTCCACGGATTGGACTTAACAGAACACAACTAAGAAAACTAAAATTGGAGGCAAAATACTATTTTTCGTCTCGGTTCCATAAGAGACCGAGAGTATTAGGTAACCTGGGCTTTCCATGAGAGACTGTGAGCACATCAGTGGGTTTGTGGGATCAGATGAGACTTGATGGGAGGCTAGAGACGCATGCAAATGAAAGGAATATAAAAACTAAAAAGTGTAAAATCCTAAGTCACAAAGCAGTAAAGCATCTTGGGTTCGTAAAACAAAGAAACTTAATAATTAAAGAAAACAAAAACATAAATAATTGTACTATGCAAATACTGTATACTATATATATTATATAATATATGTATATTAGTTATACGAATCGGTTTGGTTTTTTCAGCACCTAATCCGTTAACCGATTCGGTCACTATGGATTACTAATTTTTCAATTCATCACCTAACCACGGCACTAAAAAACCAAACTGAACCGTACTGATCGGATTAGATCGGTTCAGTTTAGCGGATTAACGGATTATTTGAATACCCCTATTCATATTTCCTACTTTCACAAAATTTCATCAAAAGTATATAATTTAATGTCAAATTAAATAAACCTTTACCATCCGACAGATATTAGCACACTCATAACGTGACAACCAGATTACCCGTGTGTAGATAATTGGGGTAGAGAAATTTTAAAGACAACTCTCGTACACTTAATCTATTTTTGACCTCATGGAAATGGTACTTACAAATATTAAACTAAAATAATTTGAACTTTGGATCAATTAAATTAGTAAAATTAGTTTAAATTTTCTACTATTCCGATTTGAAGACTTTAATCTCATACTTCAAATGTAGAGAGGGCAATTATTCAAATTATTTAGACAGTTCATTCGAATTATTCAGGAGGGTGATTATCAATTTTTTTTTTTTAATAGTAATTGATATATCAATTTAATAATTATAACTCAAAACGGTTACAAGTTTCAATTTTATTTTCTTTCCAAATTAAATTTAAAGTTTAGAAAATAGAAAAAAGGAACAAAATTTGAAAACAAGAGCACAAGTTTACCCAATACACTTTTTAATGCGGTTTTAATATATACACTTCATGAGAAAATTTACAATATCTCGAGGGTGCCGTGCCCTGAATTTCTCAATCATTATATCATTCTTCACGTGAGTTCTATTATTTCTATCACTACATCCAATGTCTGGTACCTCAAAAGTATGATATACCCCAAAAAAAATAAAAAATAAAAAATAAATAAAAATTATAGCTGTTTCCCCTGAAAATTATTACTAGTAAATTGATAGCTGGTAAGATGGTTGTCAGTTTTAACCTTTGAGCCTCACTACAAGTGTACTACTACCATATATATATATTTTGGTTTAACGACTGCTAAAATTCAGATTTAGGAGGAAGAAGAGTAGAGTTTGGAATAGTACAAATATCCTACCAGCATTTTTTAACCATTTTTTAAAATATTGTGTATTTTTTTTTTTATTCGGTTAGATAGAAGAGAAAAAAATAAATTCATAATTTATTGTGTTTGTTAAGAGAGTAGGAAATGAAAAGTTTTAATTATTTTTACTATTATATCTTATAATATTTATAATATTTTAATTTATAAAAGATAATACTGTAATTTAAAACTTGTATAATTTAAGATAATATATAATTTAAAGTTTCTAAAATAGTTCACTTGTCTTCCCTTCTTTCTATTCTTCACATACTTTTAATCACGGAGATAGTTGAAGCATATTCATCTGAATTCCTCTACTCCAGAGGCTCTGCAAAACTGCTTTTCTAACTAAAAGTAAGTAAATAGATCCGAAAAATATAAAATGCTGTTAATCCTGTTGTAGAGCAAGCTATTATTGCAAAAATTGGTGAATACAAGCAACTATCATTAAGAATTTCATCTGGTGGAATACCACAAAGAGAAAGTGTACCGAATAAAAAAAAAAAAAATTTGTGATTGGCCATCAGAGAATATCCAACAATAGTTTTCATTGAATGAATAACAAATCCTGATCCTAAAATCAATAATGCTTTCAAATATGCATGG